CAGAGGAAGATGATGAACAACTGACGGGAGCAGATTTGTTTGAACAAGAAGGAAGAGGACTTGGTGAACAACTGGGAGCCAGATGGATTCGGGATCGACCGCCTGTTCATCACGGTGAGTTCCGCGTTAAGATTGATATTCCTTTTTTTGAAGGACGTCTTCACATTGAAGATTATCTGGACTGGGAAAGAGCGGTCGAAACGTTTTTCGACTACATGGAAATCCCGCCCGAAAAACAAGTGAAGTATGTCGCTTGTCGTTTGAAAGGAGGTGCTAGTGCGTGGTGGCTGCAACTACAGCAGAACAGGCAGCGAGAAGGACGGGGACTCGTCCGGAATTGGCACCGAATGAAGCAGCTTATGCGAGGCCATTTCTTGCCAACCGATTACGAGCAGATGCTTTTCCATCAGTATCAACATTGTAATCAAGGCCAGCGCACCGTCAGTGATTATACCGAAGAATTTTACAGGTTGAGCGCACGCAATAATCTGAGGGAATCTGAGAATCAACTTGTTGCCAAGTACACGGGAGGTTTGCGGGAGTCGGTGCAAGACAAGTTGCAATTAAATTCCTTGTGGACACTCTCACAGGCTGTTAATTTTGCGCTCAAGGTCGAATTGCAGCTATCAAAACAATCTAAAAGTTACTCCTCGCGACGGTTCCTCCCTGACCAGCCCAGCGATTCCCGCAGTTTGGGTTCCAATAAGTCCACCGTTCAAGCATTACCTACGGGTACCAGCAGCAATTCTGACGGCAAAGCTTCCTTCAAGCCTCGACAACCACCACGAGATAATCCTTACATGAAGCCCACGACCTTAAAGTGTTTCCGTTGTTTCCAGCAGGGACACAAATCAAATGAGTGTCCCACGCGTCCACAGTTACAACTTTTTGAGGGAGACAATGATGAGACTGAAGAAAGAATTCCGGCAGATTATGATGAGAATGTAGAGGAACTTGTACCTGATGAAGGAGACGTTGTTGTATGTATCTTGGAACGCTTACTATTAGCACCTCGCCAACCTACCAATTCTCAGCGGAATGCGATATTCCGCACACGTTGCACCATAGGCGGACGAGTTTGCGAACTCTTGATTGACAATGGGTGCACTGAAAATGTGGTCTCTCGGTCCTTGGTACAAGCGTTGCAACTAAAGACTACGAAGAATCCCCAACCGTATAAAATCAGCTGGGTCAAAAAGGGGGTCGAGATTTCTATCTCGGACATGTGCAGAGTTAGTTTTTCCATTGGCAAGAACTATACATGTGAAGTCCTATGCGACGTTATTGATATGGACGTTTGCCACATGATTCTGGGTCGGCCGTGGCAATATGACAACGGAGCTATATATGATTGTCGTCAAAATACTTATTCCTTCGAATGGAAAGGAAGGAAAATACGGCTTCTTCCACATGTCCCTGTGTCGGTTGACACCTCTAATAAGAACAAAGCTGTTCTTAACATTGTGTCGGGAGCCAGTTTCTTAGCAGGACAACCTTCCTATATTTATGCTTTAGTGGCTGTAGAAGATCCTCTGCGGGATTCAGGATAACCGCAAGCGACCCAGGCACCAGAAATCTCTGCTTTGATTCAGGAGTTCGGGGATGTGATGCCCGCTGATTTACCGTCTGAGTTGCCACCAATGCGGATGATTCAGCACCAAATTGACTTGGTTCCTGGGGCTAATCTGCCCAATCTCCCGCATTACCGCATGAGTCCGAAAGAACATGAGATATTGCAGGAAATGATTGAAAACTTGCTGAAGCAGAAGTTGATCCAACCGAGCCTTAGCCCGTGCGCAGTGCCCGCTTTGCTCGTTCCAAAAAAAAGACAGTAAATGGCGAATGTGCATTGATAGTAGAGCTATCAACAAGATCACTACCAAGTTCCGATTTCCCGTCCCGCACGTGGAGGAAATGCTCGATAAGCTCGCTGGATCCAAATTGTTCTCCAAGCTCGACCTCCGCAGTGGATACCATCAAATACGCATTCGTCCCGGCGACGAATGGAAGACCGCCTTCAAAACCAAACAGGGGTTGTTCGAGTGGCGTGTCATGCCTTTTGGACTTTGCAATGCGCCAGCCACTTTCATGCGGTTAATGAACGAGGTACTCAAGGATTATCTTAACCGATTTTGTGTTGTGTATTTCGATGATATCTTGATTTATAGCCCCTCGTTCGAAGATCATGTTCAGCATCTTGCCAAGGTCTTACAGACACTTCGGACTCACCAATTGTATTTAAATGCCTCTAAGTGTGAATTTGCAATGACTAAAGTCTACTTCCTAGGCTTCATTGTCTCTGCGGACGGGGTGTCTACCGAACCCAGCAAAATCGCAACAATCCGTGATTGGCCAATTCCCCGCAGCTTGTTCAACGTCCGAAGTTTCCACGGCCTTGCAAATTTCTATAGACGTTTCATTCGTGGATTCAGCATCATCATGGCTCCCATTACGGACTGCTTGAAATCTAAACACGTATTGTGGACCGAAGAATGTCAAAGGAGCTGGGATACAATAAAACAATCTCTATGTGATGCTCCTGTCCTGACTCTGCCCAATTTTGACTTACCTTTTCAAGTCGACACGGACGCGTCTACGGTTGGCATCGGCGCAGTCCTGTCTCAATCCGATCGGCCAGTAGAATTTTTCAGCGAAAAGCTTAGTACAACAAGGCAGAAATGGACTGTATATGAGCAAGAGCTTTACGCGGTTGTCCGAGCTCTAAAACATTGGGAGCACTATTTGCTGCATCAAGACTTCATCTTGAGCAGCGACCACAAGGCTCTGCAGTTCTTGAATAGCCAGAAAACCATCAACCGGATGCACGCTCGGTGGATCCTTTTCCTTCAGAAATTCACGTTCGTCCTTAAGCATAAATCCGGCAATCAGAACAGGGTGGCTGATGCACTGAGTAGGCGGACAGCTCTAGTAACACAGTTACAAACCGAAATTACAGGACTTGAATGCCTTCAAGAGCTCTATGCAGAAGATTCCGATTTTGCAGACATTTGGCGGCAGTGTATTGCGATGCAACCTGTCACAGAGTACTCGCTCCGCCATGGCTATCTTTTCAAAGGTAATGCATTGTGTATTCCGGATTCATCGTATCGGCAACAGTTAGTAAAAGAAGCCCACGCCGGTGGGATGGCAGCACATCTAGGCAGAGAAAAAACGATCCAGCAAATGAAGGCGCGCTTCTTCTGACCCAAACTGCACCGCGACGTCTCCCGATTCATTGAGCGATGTGCTATTTGCCAAGAATTCAAAGGTACCAAACAAAACACAGGACTTTATACGCCCCTTCCCGTCCCGAATTCGATTTGGGAAGACATCAGTATCGACTTTGTTTTGGGCTTACCGCGGACGCAACGGGGAGCTGATTCCATTATGGTCGTTGTTGACCGATTCTCAAAGATGGCACACTTTGTTGCTTGTAAGAAGACTGTCGATGCCGTCAACATAGCCCGGTTGTTCTTCAATGAGGTAGTTCGGCTACATGGCTTGCCACGGAGCATAACGTCAGATCGCGACGTCAAATTTGTAAGTCACTTTTGGAGAGAATTGTGGAAGCGTCTCCATACCTCCCTCAATTTGAGCTCTGCCTACCATCCGCAATCTGATGGACAAACTGAAGTTATTAATCGCACCCTGGGCAACATGCTTAGATGTTTGGTTCAGAACCAACCGAAACAATGGGAGAATGCCCTCAGTCAGGCGGAATTTGCATTCAATTCAATGCCTAACCGATCTACCAGGCAAAGCCCATTCGCCATTGTCTATACGAAGGCCCCTAACCACCTTTTTGATATTGCTGTTTTACCGAAATGTGCTAACAAAGCTGCGACTGTTTTGACAGATCAGTGCCAGGCTGTTCTCGACGAAGTGCGTACGAAGCTCATTTCGTCCAACTCTTCATATAAGAAGGCCGCTGATGTCCACCGGCGACACGTTACATTCCAACCAGGCGAACTGGTACTTATTCGGCTTGGCAAAGATCGTTTTCCTGTCGGAGCCCATTCCAAGCTAAGTCCCCGCAAGTTCGGCCCAGTACCAATACTTCGCCGCATTAACGACAATGCCTATGTCGTGGGATTACCAGATCATATGAAGACATCCATCACCTTCAATGTAGATGACATCTTCCCTTATCATCCTCCTGATGATACGGGGCCAACACACATTCAGGTGGAACCTGAATTTTCGACAGCCGGAGACACCTGATGTGGTACCAGTTAATATGGGTGTGATGGAGAACACCAGACTTCTGCAACGGTTTTGTCCACCGTGGCCACTTACTCTGCTATTTTAACAGTCCTGCAATCCACTAGTTTTATAATTATTAGGCTCTTAGTTATTACCGTATTACCCTTAATTGCTGTTGCTTTGTATTAGACGCCTGTAGTGAGAGGCGGAGGTAGCTAATTTCAAAGTTATCAAGTTACTGTTCCATTGCCTTGTGTTCTTGTGTTGTGGTTTTCAGTGCAGGATTCCGACGAAGCTTCCGGTGCCACACCATTATGAGGAGGGATAAGATGTGATCAGGTATGGATAAATTTGAATCCAACAATCATTATTGTTATTATGATATGTGATTTTACCTAAAGAGCTAAGTATAGTTGGGCTAAATATATCCAAAATTAAAATTTTTATCAACTTAAAAGTTTAACCTTATTTAATCTAATGAAATAGAACAAAAAAACTCATATTTTCACATCAACAATACAACTTTCAATCACTCAATGTGAAACTGAAACCATTCTCAATTGCCTTACCAGATTACATACAAAATCTGCTTATGAAAAACCATAGTTTTCTACTAATAAAACTATGTTGTAAAATGAACTGAGAATTCTAAAAACGAGGCCTTTGGAAAAGAAACATAAGCTACAGTGATGTTCTTCATCCATGCCATCTATATATGCCTTAAAAGAACCTTGCATGATAAGCCTGTTAATGTAGAGTCGATAGTACAAATTAAACTGCAAACATGAAAATAACAGAAAAAAAAAGGCTAAGTAATTACAAATAACAAAGGAAAAAATGAAGCAAACAACCAAGATATTGAATTCCCCTTGAGAGCAAAAATCGCTTTCTTCTCTCTCACACACAAACACACACGCATACCCATAAGCCCAAACACCTTTCATTACAATAAACTCAATTATCACACTTCACAAAGAAAGTGGAGAATATTGGGAAGTTAAGGAACAATATGAAATTTTTGACTCATGCAACATACAAATGAACATAGTTAATTTTGACTCATTCCATCATCTCATTTCCTTTTCTATTTGCACCTATTTAAAGAAAGTCTAGAGCAAAACCATGAGGACTAAATTGCACAATTATAAGCTAATCATGCTCTGAACTATGCCAATCTGGCCTTCCAAGGGTAAATTCCAAGCTAGGGTTTTCAAATTCTTTGAGTGACCTTGGTGATTCATTTGGTGATGAATTCATATTACACTGCATGCACAAGGACAAGCTCATGTTAAGCTCAAAATCACTATTAGTACATGTAAAATGAGTGTATATTTAATTGCTAATTAAGGCTTCATTTGGGACGGCTTTCTAACTTCTTCTTAATGCAACTTTCTAATACAAAAATTAAAATTTTTGTAATAGAAAGCAGATTTAAGAATCATGTAAAAAACTGCTTTAAGAAGCATTAATAAAGCCGTCCTAAACGAAACCTAACTAAAAAATATTCTAATAGATTACCTCAGCTTCAGATGAGAAGTTAGCAGGTCTAAGATCATCCATTTCACTTGCATTTGAATGCAGCCAAGCTCCTCTGCTGAACAAAAATAACAAAATCTTTGTCAAGAAAAAAAAGCTAGTGATGTTTTAAAAATGTGGCTAAAATTCTAAGTAGGCTAAAATATTAACTACTAACCCTATAAATATTGCCTTATGATGTGATGGAGTTTATTGTTCATATCAATAGATAGGTTAGCTTTCTCTAAAGCTCAAATGTACTGAATTTTATCTTAAACAGTATAAAGTGATTATTTCTTTTGTGAATTGAATACAACTTTTAAGAAATATAATTAAAGACTGCCCAATCTTTCTCTAAAGCTACCCTCAAAGTTAGAATAGATTCACTATATATTATGGTTAAGCTAGTCCTGATGAGATTCTTCTAAGAGGGGCGACTTTTCAATGCTAGCTAACTATTTATTAGCATCTCAATTACTTGATTATTAATGCACACTAAGACGACGACTTCTGAAGAGCTCAAAAAAAAAAAATGATTACGTCAAGTCGGACATTCAGATTATGTTACATAATTATTGTATTTTCTTTTATTGTTTGTATAACTGTGTATGTAATCAATTCTATAATGCTTAAGCATCAAAACAAATCCATAAATAGGTGTGAAGGGGTGAGCTCAGTTTATGCAACTTTCAATCATCAAACATATTGTAAGGAAATATTAGAGCTTCTTACACTTAGAAATCTTCTTTTATCTCTCTACTTTTTTATTCTCTTTTTCACTTAATATAGTTAGGTGCAATACACAAACAATTATGAATTCAACAATTATATCTATAATAGAGATATTCGTTAATATTATATACTAAATCTACACACCATTGATAACTATTTTTTTTTGGTTTTTTGAAGACTACACACTATTGATCACTTTAGGTGTGTTGCATTATTAGGATTACATATGCTATTAGTATACAAGTTTATTTCTTTTCTTCTATATTATGGAGTCAAATAATCTACATTGTGTTTATAATTTTTTCATCATTTTGGCCACATTATTTTTTTTTGTACACATCATACACACCTGCATGATTCCATTTCCATATATCTAATTAACTATCTATTTACTTTGAAGTACTTGATCAGTTGGTTGTGATGATTTTAAATTGAAATAATTTTGAAAAAAGTTCAAAAGTATCACTATGCACCAAATTCACCATCTCCCATTTGATGTGAAATACCTTTTAAAATTAATATGATTAAAATGAAATTTTGGAATAAAAATAATTTTTACCACCCTTTTCCATAAAAAAATCCTAATGTTTACAAAAACATGATTGAAACTATAATTCTTATAAGTTTATCATGTGTGCAGGGGCAGAGCCACGATTGTTTTCTTGTAGGGGGCAAAGATTATGACTATGTTCATTAATCAGACTATTATTGGAATTTATTTGATGAATGGTTCATTTTGAAGACTGAATTTGACTATTGACATATAGCTAAGGGTTTAATTTGAGAATTCATAATTGTTGCTAGAAATCAAAACATTAGCAAGGGTGGATTTGCGTCAGAGAGAGAAAGAGAGAGAGAGATAGAGAGAGAAGAAGAAGAAGTCACAAATAATCATTGATTAAAGGGTCAAACTTTAAATAGAACATTCAATCACACTTAGCTCCTATAATAACAAATTATATATAAAAAAAGTAATTAATGGTGTGAAAAGGTTTCAATCACAATTATTACATTTTTTGAAAATCAGATCAGATCAGCCGGTTCAATTGCTAACCGATCAAGTTATCGGTTCAAAAACCACATTTGTTAAGTATCGATTTGAATCACTAGCTAGTTTGTTTTAAAATAGTCCAACCAATCCTGATATTGTAGAACCGACCAGTTCTATAAAATAATAAATTAATTTGAATGAAATTTTAAATAGTATAATTTTTATTAAATTTTTTTAATTTTTTATTTACATGTGGATCTAGATAATTATTTATTCACTTTTTAAATTTTTTATTATTACATAATTTATCTTATATTTGAATAATTTTAATGTTTATTACAACATTTTATTTAACCTCTATTAATCCCCGATTATTTATATTAAACCTCATTTTATTTAACCTCATATTAATTTATATTCACATTGAACAACTCCTTCTCCAAGTTCTATATATGATCCGATTTTCATAACATTGATTATTTATGATAATGTGACGCTTTGGCACAATTAATTTTAACTAAGCAACTAAAAATAAAACTCTGAAAAAGTAATCTAAAGATAACAAATGTGATTAGAATATACTATAATTGATATTTGTTAGAAATTATTATTCATAGCATTTTTAATAACAATGCTAAAAAAATCAATATAGCTTAAAATTTCTATAGTGAAAAATTAATATGAATCCTAGCATTTCAAAATTAAAAATCTCATGTGCTCAATATTAAATGTAACTAAAAATTAATAAATTATAACACCTGATAAAAAAAAACAATTAGACATTGATTGTAGAACATCTAACAAATCTTTTAATAAATTTAGAATTTATTCTCATTATTCTAATGATTGGGGTTTAAAGTCATGCATAATGTACTTCTCATTTTCCTATTTCTTATGTCTTTGAATTTTTAGGTAAGTAAAGTATTTATCTTATGTTATTTTGATTAATATGTTGACTTAATATTGAAATTTTGGTAAAGTAAAATCTTATTCTAAAATTATCAGATCATACCACACATGTTAAATTAACAAAATCAAATGTTAGAAAGTGAACAATCATTTTCATATTTTAGATTCTTTTGATTTGATATTCATTGTAAACTAAAAATATATAACATAGGTGAAATTAAATTAATTATATTTATTTAGCAATTGAACTATCAAGAAAAATACTTTTATATTACTTCTTCACCAACTATACATTAAATCATATATATATATATATATATATATTAAACTTCAAATTTGTTTTGCTTAGGCGATGAGGGAGAAGATGATTATATATATATATAAATTTTAGATGTAAAATATTAAATTTACGTGATTATTTCATGCATAAAAAAAACAAACATTAAAATTTTAAAATAAAACAATGAAGCAAAATGCTTTATTTTACTCTAATAATATTAATTTAAAACATATTATAACTTATTATACTCTACATATAAAATTTGTATGATTTTCATAAACATTTCACCCAATAAAAGAAGAAATATTTCAAAAAAAAATAATTATTACACAATAAATGTGATAAGAAACCTCAAATACCAAAATTCAAATTCTTCCCATAAAATATTTCTTTCATGTTTGGCTTCTTTGGTGCAACTTGCATGAAATATGACTCACCATTGACTATATGTTTAACAGTACAATCTCACTGAAATTTGACAAAGTCATTGACCACCTACACACTCCAACCCTAGCTAGCTTCTCTTTATAATATAATTTCTTTTTCATGAAAAAGGGTACCGAGAACCAAGCCAAATTTTTTTTTTTTTTTTCAAACTAAAGCATCTCCTGATGAATTGTCATATCATTGGGCCAAAGCAAATAAAAAACCAAAGAAAAAATTACAAAAATATTGAAGCACCCTGTCGTGTAAAATGACATAGGAGACTTTCCAACCATGTAGCTTTTAGAAGGTTTCAGCAACAAGAAAACCTACTGAAATGCTGATAATGTTTAAAAATTAGAGGTGTTAGTGCCAAAGGCATCTCTGTTTGATTTGATAATCTATATATGATCTTGACGTAATAGGTTCATGTAGGTGAAATATGTTAGTATTTGAAGCCTAGAACAAGCCAACTAGCTGATTTTTGTTATCAGTCTTATTTTTCCATATTAATCATTTTGTATATAATTAGGTTAATGATTGTTCTTGTTTTGTAAAAAGCTTTAACACAGCTAAATTCAGATATATTATATAGTTCTACATTCATAATATTTGATATTTTTACTTACACTTCACATCATTATTTTCACATCATTCTTTATAAGAACATAACGTATTATAAAAATCTAAGATCTACCATTGATCATAAATCTAAATTTTTGAATTGAAAATGAATTTGATCAATAAAATATGCATGGAACGACTCAGCTTTTATCTTTTTGAATCGACACCTCTCTAATCCCATATTTAGTAATGAAGATTAACACAGTAAATGTAGATCAGGTCAAGCTAAGGTACTCTAAAAGAAGTTGCTAACAATGATTTTAACCAAAGAAGAACGAAGAAAGATATATAAGTTTTGTTTGAGATGAATTTTCTTATTGTTTATTAAGTTAACTTTTTGATATAACAAATATAATTTTTATACTAAAAAAATTGCTTTAAGAAACAATAAAAAAAGCAGTCTCAAACGAAGTCATAAAGAGACAATATATGGTATATGTAAATGCAATGGCTGGACAAGGTAAGAGTAAGCTGAAGCATGCAGTGAAAAGATAGGAGAACAAAACAATTTAAATAAAGAATTGAAAACTTATAAAGAAAAGACAAACCAAAACCCAAGAAGCAATGAAGCATACATCACACCACATTAAAAATACTGCAACAGAACAGAACCAAAGTGAAAGGGTTGCGCTCAAGTCAAGGAGAGGGAGGATGGCCTTTTTGGCCTTATCTGATGCAAGAGACTGAGAGCTCAGACCCGAGGAATTGTCCTTTTTTCATTTGTTTATCGTTTTATTTATTTATTTTTTCTTTCAAGGAAAAATTAAAGGAAGTCACATTGAAAAGAATTTAATGAATGCTATACGAAGAAGTTCTTTGATCTTCTTTCTATCAAGAGTTACTCTTACTTTCTCACATTACTGTCACTTTTACTTTTTTGAACCAACCAAGTTAAATAAAAGGTTAACGTAGCTAATTATCCCATGCAAGAAGAACAAGTACACAATCTTTTCTTCTTAAAGGACGCAAACAGAGAGATTATAAAGTGCATGGGACATAAATATTTGGATACCTTGATGAGTTGCTCCATTTTGAAGCAGAGTCTGTGTCATGAGTTCCTCTGTTATCCATCAACCGTCGAAAGTTGAGATCTTCATCTCCAGAGCCGTCTGATTGGCCTTCATTAATTAAGAGATGATTGAAGAATGATTATATCTATTTATATGATCATTATGTGTTTATGAGGAAAATAACTTAAGTATTGGTACCTGAGGAAGCTGCAGCCTTGTCAGTGGTCTTCACAGTTCTATACATCTAGTGGTAAAAGAAAGGAGCAGAGGGGAATGCATTAAAGAGAGAAAGAGAAGAGAAATGGAAATGAAATGGGAAGGAGAAATGAAGCGTGATTAGTACAAACAAAAGAAAGAATCTGAAAAGAAGAAGAAACTCCTTCTCCAATGTTTTCCTTTTATGCCAGTTTTCCTCGCTGCAACCCCCCGTTGTTCACGAGGTTGACTCTCTTTCTTGTCATTTTATTTATTTTGACTCTATTATTACCAAATGATGCTCTTTCTCTCTCTCTCTCCCTCCCTCCTTCCCTCCCTCTCTCTCTTTCTCTCTCTCTCTATCTACACGTTTCATGTTGCTGTTCATCTGCATTCATTCAGTCAGTTATTCACTCGATCTGCAACACCTTGCAGTAAATACAGAACAGGATGGCTTCTTTTCTATTACTACAGTATTAGGGAGAAAATGGAGATTTGTATGAAATAAATTTTCAGCACTTGTATTTGAGAAATAAGAGTAACTGATACTCGTTTCTGAGTTTTTTTGGACACTATGATATTATTAATTAGTAGAGCTTATAATGATTTAAAGAATTATATTTAATTTGTATATCAGACTTCATAATAAACTCTAATAATTCTATCAAGATTTTAAGCATTTAAAAAAATTCTTATAAAATAGGATAAGCTAGCTACAATATAACTTTTTGTGAGAAGAAATTATAAGAACTTTCATAAAAGCTGTTTTTGCTGAAATAAAGAGCTATAACATCTAAAAAAGGAAGAACACGAAAGACTTAGATGAGAAGAAACAGGCACACACCTGTAAATGGCTCTTTACATGGGCTAGAGTGAGATCCTTAACATCCATGAGCTCAAGAACCGATTTTGGAGTAGCTCCTAAGAAAGGAAAAAAAAAATGGCGATCAAAGCATTTCAAACATGGAATTGAAGATAAGAGAAAAAATATGTATAGTTAGAGCATACTCTCATGCCCGCCGAGGAGCTCTACGGCGTGGACGAATCGAGCATGGAGTGTGCTTGTCCACCGCATCCTCGGAGCTCTCATGCTCCTCTTCGTCGTGATCTTCGACAGTAGTCTGGATCTCATTAGACTGTTCGGTGCCTCGAAGGGACCGAAGCCAAATTGTTGTTGTTGTTGCTGATGATGATGAAGAAGATGATGGTAATCATAGCTCTGCTGGCCATAAAATTTAGCCGAATTGGCAGGCATCGAGTTGAACCTCGCCAATGGAGCGACAAAGCCATGGTTGTAAGTCGAGCCAGACGGCGGCACACCGGCGATTGGGCTCAAGAAACACGCCGGTGTCTCCGAGGCCGACGACCATGCGGATTGATAAGAAGAAGGCATTTGTGTGAGGAAATTGAAGGGGTTGTTGCTGTTGCTATTGTTGCTGATACTACTGTTGTAGATTGGTATTCCTTTTATCGGCCTCGTGCCGCCTTCCGGAGATAGCTCTCGCGGCGGCGACGCCATTCGGCCTTGCCTTCTCCATATCCTCATGGTGTCAGAAATCGACGGCGGGCTTGCGAGGGAAAGCTCAGTGTGCGCATCTGCAACGCCGGCGGCGCCTTCTCGAAGTGAGGGACTGCTGTTGGGAAGGCTAATGTGGAGAGAAAGATCAGGCGGCGACGGCATCGAGCCAGCTTCCATGAACACTCTTTGAACTTGCATTATATGCTCGATCTAAGTTTCTTAATTACCTCCCAAACTTGCAATCAAGCTAGCATCAAAGACAAGAATGTTGGAAGCTCGGATATTGCAGAAGGGTATAAGAATATGAAGAAGTGTAGTAGTACTTCTTCTTCTGTCTTAGAGTTGTGTTTGGTTTATGTAGAGAGACAGGTTGCAAGAAATAGGAAAGGGGAAGAAGGGATGAAATGGAGAACCAAAAGCTAATTATCTGCATCAAAGACAAAAAGCATGGAAGGATTTATGCTTCTCTTAGTAGTGTATACTGATCTGCTAGTTTAATTTCTGCTCATATTTATTTATCTTTTCCAACTATGTCTAATAAATAATGTTGAGGGAGACATTGAAGACGCTAAGAGGATGTGGAGCATGGAGGGCAAGAGCAGCACAGAATAATAGTAAGCGATCTGGGTTATATTATTTTAATCCTTGTGATATATATTAGCAAGAAGAGGAGAGAGAGAGAGAGGGATGAAGAGAGAGAAAGTACTGGTCAATAGTCAAGAGATCAAGAGAGGATTTCTTAAGACTTTTCTTTCAGATGAGAATTTATTTATTTAATGTGCATTAAAACAATTAAAACAGATGGAAGGAATCAATGAGCTTTAGCTTAAGCATTATGCTTCTTCATTCTGAGTGGAGAGCTGATCATAAATATGAGTTGTTAATGATATTCTTTAAGCTAAGTATTTATTCTTATATAAGATTTGTTTTATGTTATTAGTAATTGATTTAATGATAATTTATCTGTAATTAAGTTTATGATATTATTAATTAGTAAAATATTCTAAGTAATTGTAAATAAATTTTTTATAATTCTAAAATTTGTAAATAAAATTAATTAGAGATAAATAATTAAAAGAAAAGGAAGGGAGAGAAAGTCTCGTGTGTGTGGGTGGGGTTTACTTTTCCTCAGAATCTTAAACTTTTTAAGGGGAAGCTGAGGGAGAAAGAATGAAGTGGGAATTCCAATCAATCTCTTTCTCAAATAAATCAGATTGGCAGGGTGGGGTTCCTTCTTTTCAATTTCTTTGACGTGCTCCTCTAAGATAGAGAGATAGTGGGCAGGTTTTTTTTTTTTTTTTATAATAGAAACTTTTGAGTATTGTATTATATATTTAAGTTTAGATTGGGACATTTTTTTTAAATCTTTTTTTTAATGATTTGTTAGTTTAATAATTTTTTTGAACTAAAAATTTTTGTACTAAAAATTTGATTTAGAAAATAGTAAGAAAGCCGTCCCAAATGAAAACTTAATAAAGTTGAGATTAAGGTGAATTTTAGTTTGCACAAAAAGAAATGGCCAATAAAAATGAGTTTAATGCAAAAACATGCGGTGCATTTGAAATGTTTAAATGAATGTAAAATAAATGTATGTGATTATTGTTTTTTAATTTGTTTGAAATAAAATGAATGTAGTATAAAGCTCTGTGATGGTGTTGGGCGGTGGTTTTAACGTCCCATAATAAAATTCAAAAAAATTGTCTATTTATCATTTTTAGAATTTACTAGAGCTTCTGTAAATCATCAATGTAAATAATAACAAATAAAAGGAGAGCCCATTGACCAACCTTCCTACTCATATATTATAATTTAACAGCCAACCCAGTTTATAGTGTTAACAGCCAGCCTTTTTTGCTTACGCAAATGTCACAATTAAAATGCAGTATGAAATAATCAATTATGTTCAATACAAGAAAATTTATATAACAATCAAAATCATTAAAAACTAAAATAAGATTTGAGTTATTGAAAACAAATAGAAGAAATCTCTGAACAAAACTAACTGATGAAAAAGCCCCGAACATCCTTCTCTCTCTCCTCCTCTGCAAGGCACGATGCTAAAATTTAGATTTTTTCATTTTAAAAAATCATTCAAAAAATATTTGAATTATTACACAACGATGGTGTTGTGTTATGGTGGGGAACGGCAGCCAGTGATTGTTGACGACTGATGGGATTAGTGGCGATGGTGGTTGTTAGTAGTCGGAAGCCAGCAAGTACAGTTAGTGGTTGGCAATCAATAGTGGGTGGCATTGGGCGATGACTGAAATGCGACATGTTGCGACTGAGGTGTGGTAGTCAACAACATGCCACAATAATGACAAAGAATTTACAATATATTTGAAAAACAACTAGATCTAACAATTTTTAAATATATCAAATATAAACTAGATGGTGATTCTAAATTGACCAATGAATAACATTGCATTCAAAATCCACGCAACTAAATATTCAAATTCTTGGAATGCATCCATTTGAAATGCGTTATTATAGTACAAAACTACAAATACAACCAACAAAACTAAACTGAACTCATTATAAGTTCATAAGATAAGGAAAAAGAATGGAAGAAAATATTATGAAATTTAAGTCAATACATAAGATAAGAATAAAATAATTCTCTATAAGATAAAAGGACTAGTACAAACGCATTTAGCCATATTTTTAAATCTGTGATCAAATTTCATGGAGCGTGATTATTATTTGTGTCAATACACAGCCATTTAATTTGTTAATTTTATTACAAACAGTTGTGATTAAAATTTTAGTCACATGCACAACCAATAATAATTTTTTTTTTAATGGAAAATTAGAGGTGCAGTTAATTGAGAGCGGCTCATAGGAAACACCATTTTTATGTGAAAGTATAAATGGGGTATTACCGGCTAGTTAAAAGATAGAGAGATAGTGGGCAGGTTTTTTTTTTTTTTTTATAATAGAAACTTTTGAGTATTGTATTATATATTTAAGTTTAGATTGGGACATTTTTTTTAATCTTTTTTTTAATGATTTGTTAGTTTAATAATTTTTTTTGAACTAAAAATTTTTGTACTAAAATTTTGATTTAGAAAATAATAAGAAAGTCGTCCCAAATGAAATCTTAATAAAGTTGAGATTAAGGTGAATTTTAGTTTGCACAAAAAGAAATGGCCAATAAAAATGAGTTTAATGCAAAAACATGCGGTGCATTTGAAATGTTTAAATGAATGTAAAATAAATGTATGTGATTATTGTTTTTTAATTTGTTTGAAATAAAATGAATGTAGTATAAAGCTCTGTGATGGTGTTGGGCGATGGTTGTAACGTCCCATAATCAAATTAAAAAAAATTGTCTATTTATCATTTTAAGAATATACTAGAGCTTCTATAAATCGTCTATATAAATAATAACCAATAAAAAGAGAGCCCGTTGGCCCACCCTCCTACTCACATATTATATTTTAACAGCTAACCCATTTTATAGTGTTAATTTTATTGCAAACAGTTGTGATTAAAATTTTAGTCACATGCACAACCAATAATAAAATTTTTTAATGGAAAATTAGATGTGCAGTTAATTGAGAGCGGCTCATAGGAAACACCATATTTATGTGAAAGTATAAAGGGGGTATTACCGGCCAGTTAAAATGATCCCAGTAATATATACTATAGATTACAAATGATGTCATGCATTTTCTATAATTGGAGAAGGTATTGATGCAACATTGTAGACTTAGATTATGAAGGATGGCTTCCATGATGGATATTATAGGGACTTTTTGGCATTTCAGTTTCATTCAAGAGATCGTTAGTTATCTATTTGGTCATTCTCTTTAAAGGAGGGAAGAACAAAGACCAATACATTCAATATTAAGCTTAATGTCAGTGTAGAACATCAGTGTAAGTGTTGACAGTGGCTTTGATATTGGTGTTGATGGCATGTATAGACATTTTTGGCAATGACGTGCAATGAAGTTTATATATATGACATGCGACCACCTAGTGATGGAGTGCATTAGCGTTTTTTATAAGCAATCAGACAATGGTTGTCATGAGACGGTTAGTAGTTAGATAAAGTGGTCAAGTAATGGTGGTTTAGCAACAATATTCAAGCAATAGAGTTCGAGAGATAATAGTTGCTGATTGTGTTATGATGATTATGAATGGGTGGTAATAGTCAAGTAATAGTGGTCAATCGTTGGTTTCCATCATTATGCAGAGCTCTCTCCAACTCTAGCTCAAGGTCTAGGTCCAACTCACCTACTTCTCCCAGATGGAAAACTAAGGGGCTATCTAAATATTTTTTGTGTGGTGTTTTTAGTAATTTAGCCAAAATTTGCAAATGCTAAATTAGATGACCTATATTGATTTGCTTAACTATAAACTATTTATTAGGCTTTTATGTATTTTAATGACACTAAATTGAGCTATTTTAGACTCATTGGATTCCTCTCATCTAGACACTCATTTTGAATTCAAGCAAATATGCTTTAGAGATAGTTTGGTCCTTCAAAATGTATAATCAAATTTACAACTATGCTTTGAATGCATGATTAAACCCAATTTACAACTATGCTTTTGGTGTCATCGAATTAGACTCATCAAAACTTTTATTTCGTTTATAAATTTGCTGAAAAATGAAATTCGAATGATCTCCAATCAAATTCTAAAAACTATTAATTCATCAAGATCCACAATTAATTGGATATATGGATTTTTAAATGACCCATCAATAATTAAATAACTCATAATATTCTCTTCTAATATTTTTTCTTTAATTTAGACAGGGTCACAGGCTTTGCTATTCTTGGAATAAAATCTGATAATAATATTCCATATGTCCTTTTGGATCAAATCAATAGGAGAAAGAATTCAAGATGTCCTTAAACCCAAGTCTACGGCTTCATTTTGCACAGCTTTGGGCCACTTCTTTAAAAAAAAAATTATACTAAAAAGCTGTAAGAAAACTTTCTATGCTTCATTTGAGATAGCTTTCTTATTGATTTCTTAAGTAGCTTTCAGCATAAAAACATTAGGTTGAGTAAATAAAGGCTACAATTAATTAAAATATAATAAAATGGTTATGAACACCCATATGGTGGATTTTAGAGCCATTAATGCCTCACTAATTGAGATTTGTCATCGAAGAATGTAGCTTTAGATAAGATAAAACATGCATCGAGAAAGCCTATGATGAGTAAATTAGTTCTAGAGCTATCATAGTTTCTTGAGCTAATCAAATTTGACCTTTAGAAAATTAATCTATAATCTAATTGTACAAACCTTCCCGCCTAACTTCTAATTCTCTTTTCATTCTCCCAAATATTCTCACCACCTAAACATTGCACCACCTTTGCTGTCTACTCTTAATTAATGTGCCAACCTAAGCCCATATGTCATCTTCTTCATGCATTAGTTGACTCATGAAATTAATATACAAATTCCTAAGCTCCACCGAGGCAATTACAGCATATTATAACGTGATATTTCTTGTCGGTAGGTACAATTAGCTTTTAATGCCATCTTTCTCAGCTAATAAAAATTTCAGCCATGAGAGATGATTGATTAGTACTTCAGTTCCACCACTCCTCTAATTACCTCAGTAATTGTGGACTC